ACGCAGCTTTTCACAACTTGTCATTATACTTCGGCGAGTTGATTCGTCCCCAGTACTTAATTCGAGTGGTGCCGCGAATTTGCTTATTCTTTTGTTCAGTCGCACAACCTCTAGTGGGTTTCTTTGGATTCCATTGACCTCAAGAATCCGGCTCCTGAACACTACCAAGGATGTGTCATCAGGAACGTTAAATGCAATAGTACTAAACGTAGTATTTCTTCCTTTGGTACCCGTGTGCCGTGCGGCTTCCGGCGTGGCTGTTTCTGACGCAGAAATGAATGGTATGGCCGTAGCAGGCTAGCAGTAAATAAATAAATAAATAAACTTTTATTCTCGACCATGCGAGACACACCATTACAGGCATGATCATGTTTAGCTAACAGTGTGATCAATAACGTACAAAAGTACATGTGTGGCATGACATATGTAAGTGTATGGGTATATATGCGTATGTAATTGTGTATGAATGTAGCTTGTGTCTTTGAATGTGCCGCAGCATTTTTGAATGTTTGTTGTCGTCAGGAATGTGAGCATGAGCGATTGAGGTCCTTGGGTTGGATAGCACTTTCCGGATATCCACAGGCCAGTGACTTTATTTTGTGGCGAGTCACATCCGCCACGTCACAGTGTTGATAAGCAGACATTTGTGGCTTTTTATAGGGCGAACGCTTGCCAGGCGAAAACCCACCACGTCCTGGAACACTGCCGCCGAACTATTTGCTGGAACGGGTTAAACCCGAACCACCCAGCTGGCACCACGAGGAGGTTGTTCGGCTAGCCAGCCGTTTAGTTGGAGGAGCCGGCGTTTGTTGGTTCCAGTCAGGTGACATACTAGATGCTCGCCGACCAAATTGGGTTACTTCGGGTGGCAAGGCGCAGCTTGCTGCGTATGTCGTCTTTGACAATGATGCCTCTGCGACTTGCCCTCCTAGTCCATTGGGATGATCTGTACAACCGAGTGGAAGCTCGGATGTAGGCGAACAAGTCCCGGGTTTCTTCTCAGGACAACTACTTATCTCCCAAAGTCGCTTAGGGTCATGGGTATACATAACCTCCAGTTTTAGCATTTCTGCCACCGAGCAATGTTTGTACCATTTGCTTGACCTCACCCTGAGCTAAATCCTCTAAGACATCGAAATCAACTATGTGGGAGGCCTCCGGGGTGACAAAATCCTGCAGAGGATCAGTAGATATTCCAGGGGTTCGCTCGTTAGTAGTAGGCTTGGATGCAGAAACTTTTCGTAACCGCGTTGCATGGCTGTCTTTGCGTTCACTAATTTTAACTGGACAAAGGTTGTGCGCGACCGGAAGTCTGTTTGGTAGGACAGGAATTTACGGGCCGAACGCTCTGTATCAAACCTGAATAGCACGGGACATTGGTTTTTAATAGCCCTTTTCCTCAGTCTGGTGCAACTAATTAAATTACCTTCTAAACCGCAGATATCCATCAGTACCTTCTTGATGGTGTGAACTTTTAAACGGTCAGGTACATTATAGACCACTACCTCCGTGAGGCATTTTATCCGGTCCATGACCTCAGTACTAATAGCATTGAGGAAACGCATGGAAGTCTCGGAGCACTTTTCATCCATTACTTTGCCAGGGTGAACTAGGCTTGTAATAGCCACTAAACGCTCAGCTATTGGCTATAAGCTGTTAAAGGTCACTTTCATACTCGCCAACTCCTGTTGCAGTTGCGCGATTGCGCGGCGCATAGAAGAAAATGCGTCCATCACCCAAACGGAGCACGGCATGGTCACGTTGGTCGCTGTATTGCCCCCCATTTTACTCGCTTTGTTTACACGACGGCTAGTAGATATTCCTTTTCTACCGCAAGCATTTGAGACCAAGTTAGAGAGTCAGCCACGAAGGAGAATAGTAATGGAAAGAGGAGAAGTAACAAATAAGGTACAACGATATTGCCAAGGAAAATACCACATGGCGGAAGTCTGATAAATATCAGAGTAGATATGAAAGATCTCTAGTAGGCAGACAGTAGACTGTACCAGATGTATAACTCCCACAAAGATACAACCAGTCGAGAGCGAAACGAACCAACCGGTCAGGGTGACCTTGAGCTGCGAATGTGGATGCGAGTGTGGATGCCGTGAGTCGCTAAGAAACGGTATACCACCAGGGGCCGTAACAGCTACATTGGAAGAAGCAGGGTCCCAGCTTACTCAACAAGTGAGAATCCAACAATCGCTTGCAACCTTCCTCAGTCTGTGCGCAAACCCCATGCTGAGCATGCCCTGATTCCGCTGTTTGGGCTGCAGCTGAAACAATCCAGCGGGAAACACAGTTTAGCACCGACAGGTCCTCCAGCCAATGAACGGGAGGTTATGGAGCTGACACTGCTCTTCCCTTTAGCTCTCTACAAATATGAACCCTTTGAACAGCCTGGGAGAAATTTAAGGCATACCTCACCGAGATCTCTGCTCCCCACATCCCATACACTAAGAGAAGAGTGACACGGGCGCAGCCTCCATGGATAGATCATTCAGGTAAATACCTGCTCAGGAAGCGGTCTAAGTGCTGGCGAACTTACCAAGCGGCTTAATCAGCCAGCACCTACGGAAGCTATCGAGCGGTTAGAAATAAATTTAAGCATCATCTTAGAACTCTTCGTCTTCAGTACGAGGAGGATTTGGCGAACGCAGCCGTAACAAATCCAAAGAAGTTCTTTGCTTACGTAAAGAGACGTAGCGGTACAAACTCGTCTATACCGGCTTTACTACGAACGGACGGGACCCATTAGCATACCGACTATGATAAGGCCTGTATACTTAGCAAACAGTATACTGGTGTCTTTTCTCATGAAGCCTCTCTACCTCAAGTTGAGCTGGTCATTAAAGTTCCGGAGGATTCTTGCCTAACTGAAATAAGCATATCGGAGACACAAGTCTTCGGGCTATTGCAAGGGCTAAAACCTTCCAAAGCTTCTGGCCCTGATTCAATTCATCCGAAGCTGATGCATGAATTGGCCGCTGAGCTAAGTGGCTCTCTTACATGCATGTTTACAATATCACTCGACAGCTGTGCCTTACCTTCTGAATGGAAGAAGGCGGGGAAGGGCGGGGACAGAGTTCTGCCCGCGAAATACCGGCCTGTCAGCTTAACAAGTGTAGTAGATAAGTTGTTTAAAATATTGGTAGGGATTCGGTGGAGAATCACCTGATTACGTTTAACCTTCTCAGCGCCGCCCAGCACGGATTCCGTAAGGGATTTTCATGTCTGACAAATTTGCTTGTAGCTCGTGAAAGCTGGGCTGAGGAAGTAGACAACGGTCACGCCATTGACGTGCTTTTCGTTGACTTCTCGAAAGTCTTTGATACTGTCCCACAACAACGACGCTCATTGAAGTTGAGATGATATGGGATACCTGGAGCCGCCCTTAAATGGGTTTCTGCTTTCCTAGAGGGCAGAGAACAGTGTGTAGGCGCGGGGCGTAGCCTATCGCTTAGACAAGCTGTTCTTAGTGGCGTTCCGCAGGGCTCGGTTCTAGGGCCGTTGCTTTTCGCAATTTATGTCAATGACCTACCCCAGGAGCCTGAAGTACCGTCGCTATTGTTTGCTGATGAACTCAAGCTCCGGAATATTGTGGATATCCCTGGTGGCTCTGAGGCACTTCAGAGTGCTTTGGATAGGCTTTGGGATTGGTCAACCTTATGGTTGATGCCCATAAATCAGGCAAAATGTTCTGTCCTCTGCATTGGAAGTGCTAGTCCCCCCACGCGCTATGTAGTTGGTGGAAGTGAACCCAGTTGTCATTCAGCAGGTTGATCTAGGTATCACCCATACCTCATTGCTTCACTCTGGGGACCATCGGAGAAAGGCAGCTTGTAGAGGGTTCCGTATGATATGGTTTATTCGCCGCTCCTTCGGTGTCCTAACGGCCGATATCTTTGTGAAGCTGTTCTCAGCTTTCGTGCGACCTCACTTAGAGTACTGTATCCAGGCTTCTCTACCTTGTCTTGTAAGGGACAAAATGGAACTGGAGAGGGTTTTGCGAGTGGATACAAGGTTAGTGCAAGGATTACGGGGCAAACGTATCCCGAACGTTTGCTTAGCTTGGGAATATACTCAATGCACTACCGCAGAATTAGAGGAGACTTGATCCTCACTTACCGTATCTTAACGGGTAAGATCGGTCCAGACTTGTCCTGGCTATTTAGTCCCGCCAAGCTGCCTAGTCTCCGAGGTCACCCGTTGAAGCTGCACAAACAGCGTTCTGACCGGGTAAGGACGGAAACTCGCTTGTGGCGTCGAGTTATTGAACGTCGAACGCTTCCGGCGCACGTCGTTAGGGAGTCTACGGTAGAGGGTTTCGAGCGTCAGTTAGATGCTCTAGGGTGGCAGAACCAAACCCACCCCTTCTAACCGACTTGTATATTCAAATTTCCCTTCGTTCCTTTTTAATTTTCTTCTCACCTTGGTATTATCATTATTTAGCTGACATTCCTCCTCTTCTTTTCTTAGCTTACCCTTCACTCTTTTACTTCACATAAACCGGCCTGGCAGGGACTTCTGGGAGGAAAATGTGGGCAGTAATTGGTTGGACAGGGTGTGATGCGGTCTTTGTTTTAGGCTTTTCAACATCTCAAGCATACCTGTCAATTCCCGATCCAACGATACGCAAAAGAAGGAACATTCACGGGATTATCCTATCGTTCCGGTCCACTGAACTTGAACTTGAACATCTATGAACTTATACATTCGCAGGTGTAGTTGCAAGCATTTAATCAAATCATATAGCAATATATACACAAAAACATAGATAAATAAATCAGGTAACGTCAAAATAAAATACACTATTAGACGTAGTGTAAAAAGCCGATAATGTTGGGGAACATTATAATGAGAAGGTACACCCATATACAAGCGAAACTTTGAATGCAAATGCTTTCACTTGATATCAATTCTTCGACCCACATTGAATCTTTTGTAACAGATAACACCGAGCTGTACCAAACCGCACGGCATATTTTTGGCCTAAATAAAGTCCGTTAGTTACGTACTTCGAGTATTCCTGCTGTAACGCGGGAGTATCGCAGTAGCAAGTCAAAAGTAAGTTGTTGTCAACCGTATCCTATATTGTGATCGTCGCTTCCTCTTCCCTTTACCTTTCAATTTATCTTCTATGTTGTTGGAGTAGCCACCTAACTTGCGCCTACACGGAACCCAGCTACCCACCTCGCGCTCGGTACTTTACCAGCAGCTGTATTGGTTCATTGGGTTCATTGGGGTAGTAGAGAGCAGGAGGGGAAATCCCTTGTCAGCTCCATCGCTTCCCGATCATTGCTGGGATGCTCGTCATTGCGCAACGGGAACTCCGGAGAGGCCGTCGCACTCGTAGCTGAAGCAACACGATCCCGGCATATTCAACAGGTGTGTATCAAGCAGTCGTTTGAAGTAATCCTCTGTCTGTGCATCAACGACTGTCGGCGGTAACCGGTTCCAATTATTCACAACGCGAGTGGATAGAGCAAGAATGGACCGTACTTTGAGCCTCCGTGGCTTGAATAGTTTCCATTGGTGGCCTCTAGTCGAACTCCCGATGTTGAGGTGGAAGAATTCCTGCAACTCTCTCCCCAGTTCTCCCCTGAGGATACGACGGGTAAAGATCAAGTCCCCACGCCGACGGCGGTAATCCATAGAAAACATGTTCAAGTGCCGAAGCCGAAGGGGATACGGCAGGTCACTGTAACCCTACTACCCAGCTAGCCAGGAGATGTGGCACAAGCACAACGTTTACTTAGCTCCGAGACTACTACACTTGGTGTCGTGGTGAGCGTTTATTCCAAGATGTATACAGCCATCGAATCCCTGACGTAAATGCATCTCCCTGGGAGTTACAAAAGCGCATGCAAAGAGCTACGGTTACTCACTAAAGCTGCCATTCGTAAAGACCTGAAAATCGCACACCTTTTAATGTTTGTTGGACGGAAGGCTTATTCACTTGCCAAATCTGGATTATCCTCGGACGCGGTCGGAAAAGCAATAGGAAAAGAATCCCTTTTTGTCACATATACTATCAGAAACTTCTGTGGTTGCTAAAAAGATAACAAGCAGCTTACTCATGCGCTAGTCTGATTAATCTTTTCGCGTTTTTATCCTCCATCTTCATCCTCAACCTACTTTTTGAGCATTTGGGGATAAGCAGCACTCTACACTCCACAAAATTAAGAAGCTCAAATATATTAGAGTAGATCATGACGAGATAATGTTGTCGTTCGACAGGACCGCACTCATTACACCTGTCAATTTACAGACCGAAAAGCAAGCAATTAGCGCACGCTAGACCAAAGTAAGACAACAATCGGAAAATTGACGACTAAGGTTCTGTGCAAGCTACCTGACCTATGCCACGCGACCTACTTCGTTTTTGATGGGCATATCTATGAGCATGTGAAAGGTTCCCAGATAGGCTCCATGTTTCAGGATTCGTGGCAGAAATATTACAGAAACTTGAAGCGGACGTACTGCACATAACCAACCCAAGATTGTGGATCCGATACGTCGATGATACGTTCGTGATACTGAAACGTAGTCACGCAGATGTTGCAAATGATTTGCTCATGAAGACCACCGAGGACATTCATTTTACGATGGAATGGGAGATAGAAGTCTAGCTCCTATTTTTGGATGTTAGTCCCCAGGACGATTGACGGAGAGTTGCAAACCTCGGTTTACCGGAAAGCCACACACCGACCAGATTCTAAACTACTGCATCAGTCACCCCAAATATTCCAAAATAAGCTGCTTTCGGACTAGTTTGCTTAGAATTTAAACTTTGCAGTACTCCTGTAGCGAAGCGGAAAGAATAGATATACCTGTTCAGGTCCTTTCACCTGAATGGACATTCGCATAACTTTGTGCGGCATGTCTAAACAACAAAACTACGATCTCTTAGCCTGCTCAAACAACAATGAAGAGAAGAGTTCTACCTTAGGTAAAGAACATTCCGAGATGCCGACAATAATATTCAAACAGCACGGACTTACAATGGTACATAAACTCACCGCCGCATTGTGTAGGACCCTGTCGGAACACAAAGCTAGATCTAAAACACACGGAAGTCGTAACGTTTACAAGCTCCGGTGTCAAGATTGCGATAAATACTATGTAGGTCAGACAACTAACCGACTACAGGGATCGAATACGAGATTGTAAGAACCTTTGCACTTTCTCACTGGTTACAAGACATACAGACGAATAAGAACATTGCATCTAGCACAGGGAGAGACACGAAAAGGAAGAGAGTTCTTCAAAGCATGGTACTCGACGACGTACTCGATAACAATGCGCGTCGAGATTGACCCAGTTTGCGAAACTCTATGTTAGAGAGAATTAAAAACAACATAAACCCTTCGTAAGCAGCTAAACGACCCCTCAACAATACAGCCGTGACAGCCTGGGCAAGACCATCCCAAGGATCGCCGGTGTGCATCAGTGGAGCTGGGCAGGCGGATGGTCACGGGGTACAGATCCAGAAGGTCAATTAAAAAGTCACTTGCTAATCAATCACAAATCGACGACCAAGTCAGCAGATTACGTTTGACCTAGCAGCGCACTGAGGAACTCACCTCGTGTGGTGTTGAAACGTCTGCATACCAGTCGCAAAGCTCGGGGTCCAGTTGAACCCATGTACAAGAGAAACCGCCCAGTCGGACTCGGTGGAAATGAAGAGTTGCGGGAAACAATCGCGTTGCCGTCGCTGCCCAGGGATACAAAAGCACATGCACCTAGAGGTTGTTGCGGAGCGAAAACGTGAGATGGGCACCCTTGCAACATATTTTAAGTCCTGCACTAGTAAGTGGAGAAACAAAAAATGACCTACTGTTCCTGAACACTATCTGTTTGCACCAGGAGTTGAAGAGAATAATGGGGCAGCAGGTTGCCAAAGTATTAAGCGCTTCGCTTATTGGTACATTTTTTGGGTGGACATGTAATTCAACCAGCATGCAGAGAAGAATGTGGGTGGCACGGGGTTAATTGCCAAGAAGCTGGCTATCGAGAGTGGAAGACTTGGACTCACTAGCACTCAAAGTTCAGTGAAGGAGCGATGTCGTTAGGGAGTAAATAACTCAGCTGTAGCGCAAATAGAGTTGCAGAGCCAGCTCTGGTATGGACTGTGGGTTGCGTAATCAGATGAGCAGCAACGCTAAATTTTTTCTAATTATCTCACTCCAAGGTGGACGTCTACCGTAAAACATACACGCCAACTTGGCGGCTTAGAAGAGTGGGTTGGGAACCGGGTTAATTGCGTAGCAAGATGTGCTCGCTATTATGAGATCGGGCCATGCGCAATTAGTTAAATTTATTAGCAGGGGCGGTAATAGAAAGGAGTAATGCCAACACTATAGCGAATATGTGGTTGCAGAACTAGCACTGAAATGGACTTGGGGTTTCAGTTGAGATGGTCAGCCGCGCCGAGAAATAGTGGTTAACTTCAAAGTGGGCTTCTACGGTGTAGGAGACAATTAATATAGACTGCAGAGAGGTGTGGTGTTAGGAGGCTGCTTAATTGTGAAACAGGAGCCGCTAGCTATCGTAAGAGGAGATACGGGCTGTTAGGCATTCAGTGTTAAGCACAGGGACGAGAAGAGCGGACTGCATGCTACAGTTGCAGCGAAAATACGAATGCGAAGCCAGCTCTTATTGGCAATCATACCAGAATGAGGCAGACTTAGACAAGAAGCAGAATACGTCAGCATCCATAGTCGTAAGTAAGTAGCGCTGAGAACGTGATACCGCAAATACAGCAAGTATGTGACAATGGGTTGAATGTATTGAAAAGTCTGCTGTGAACTCTTAGGCATTACACCGCGTCAGGGTCTACAGTGTCCTGTCGGATAGCTTTCCGACCACAAGTAGTGTTCGTCAGGGTTGTCCGATCTCTCCATTTTTGTTCAATTTCGATGTGGATTCTATCATGGAGTGCTCCCTTGCGGAATCTCATGATGTAAGTGTTAATATGCTGCCTGGTAATGGGTTAGTTGGTCTAGATTATGCAGACGATATCGTCTTACTTTTCGACGATGTTGTGGCGGCTCAATCAACCCTGAATACCCTGTCCAAAGTGGTCCCATTATTTGGTATGCACTTCGCACCTTCAAAGTGCAAAGTATTGCTGCAGGACCACCAGCCACTTGATGACCCCTTGACGCTTGCTAACGAGGAACTCGAGGTGGTTGATCATTCCACTTATCTTGGCAGCTACATCAACAATGACGGGCGCATAGAAAGTGACGTCAGCTCAAGCATTGCAAATGCCAGAGCTGCCTTGTTGAACCTGCGTCATCTTTGGCGACGGAAGGGAGTTTCCCTCCGTCTGAAAGGCCGTGTAAACATCATCATCAATAACAGCAGTACATCTGCCATTTGCACTGATGCTTCGCTGCCATACAACTATGAGGACCTATGAAATAAAGAATAAGAAGAGGGAGAGAAAGGGGGACTTACTTGGAAACCTTAATGCCCTAAGCAAACATTCTGGGTCAAGGCGCCTACACCTAGTGTAGACAACACCGCCACAAACAGCTGGCTATCATGCAAATATAAGGCGGCATCGGCGAGACAGTTTCCTTGCGGCTTTCACTGCCCCGCGTCATAATCAGCCATTACCCCTTAGATAACTCAGCACCAAACATACTTTAAACAGGCAATCCGATGAGAAGACGGCAGCAGACGCTCCACTGGTGTCGGTTGCGAGCCATGTGCTGCATAGTCTCGAGCCAAGCACAAGGTGAGTCACGTGCGTTCCAACCCGGAAGGCGCGACGGACCAACGGCACACAGTTTGGTTATCAGTGACTTCATTTGTCGCTGCCAAGTTAACTTCTGTCCACCTCGAGACTAAACAAGGCCCTCCTAGATAAGCGGTGACCAGGCATGCGTAGCACGTGCCCTAGCCAACGCGACTTATTCAGTGCTATCTGTTGTTCTAGGGGGCTAGCATAAGTACCACTACCTAGTACTCGCCTCCGCGGATCATCTTTGCGGACACGCTGGTGCCATTCGACTTCAGCAATGCTTCGCAAACAACGATGATCAAAGACTTCAAGGTGCC